GGGTGACTCGAAGACATATATCCATCGCGTTGGGCGGACGGCGCGAGCAGGCAGGAGTGGTGTGTGCGTCAACCTTGTGACGCAGTATGATATTGAGGAATTTACGAGAATTGAGAAGGCTTTGGGTAGGAAGCTGGATGTGCTCGAGGTGGAGAAGGGGGAGGTGAGCTTGTTGGCTGAGAGTGTCGGAGAGGCGCAGCGGCAGGCGATCAGGGAGGTGAAGGACTGGCAAGAGAAGAAGAAAGAGAAGGGCGTCGGGCGGAAGATGAGGAAAGGGAAGAGGGACGATATGGATAAAGAGGAGGTGTAGATGAGTCTCTAATGTCCGGAGTCATATGTATGGACGCAGAGATTTTGAAGCTTGATACCCGGAAATGTGTATAAACTATAGACTACCATCTGCATATCCTCTGATCTAGGAGAGCCCAATCCGATATGTTCCTGAATCGCGGTGAGCACAGCACCTTTAAGGAACAAGAAGACCTGCACGCATGTATGCTCGCAAAGTATGCTATGTAAAATGCTATGCGAACTACCAACTATTCTCGCTGCAGAATCACAAACAGCCCCATTATGCCCAGCACCACCGTCTTCACCATCGGGTGCTCTGATAGTAGGATGGTGACGTAGCCAACGAATGGCACGTACGCCTTCACGCTCCCGATCACTTCCTTCTCGCGGTCAATGTACTGCTGACCTGGGGCGTAGAGGAGCACGTCGTCCTGCGGGTTGTTGTCGCCCTTGGTAAGCAGCTTGAGAGGTGGGTAATTCCGCGTCTTCGAAACCTTTGCTGGTGGTCTATAGAGTAGCATAGGCTGATTAGTTACTGTCCAGTGCGCCTCGAGGAGAGGTGGTATATAAAGCAATGCCCTTACGTACCGGCTAACATGTCGCCTCAAGACGCGGTGAACAATCGGAATCGGCTTCCCGTCGACATTGTACACGACAATCTCGCCAATCTGCGTATCTGTCCCTCTGTTCCACAAGAACAGTAGGTCGCCACGCTGGAACGCCGGCTCCATAGACCCGGAGAGCACGACGACAATCGGCGACGGCGAGTTGGTGACTAGCGAAAGGGACTTCCACATCATGAACGCGGTCGAGAGGATCAGTCCGAAGTTGAGGACTTGCGCCAGCAGCTGGCGCGGCTGGTAGGCGGATAGCGCGGCGAGCATCTTGGGTAGCGAGGCGAAGCTGAGGGTATGGCGATTGGTGGCGATGGAGCTGCTGGTGGGAGGAGGCTGCCTTCGTATACCAGCGCTGACTCTCGAGACGTGATGTTGGTCGAGCTATTGAAATGTGGTCAATCGAGGTGGGACTGCCGGAACAGGAATGTTTGCACACGATATATACAACACATTCTACCTGTTGCATTTTAGGCTTGCTGATAGTATGGACAAAAAGGTATTACGAGGATTACACGAGTTGAGGACTTGGTGGATCTGGTTTGGTAAACCAGGCTTGCTGACGTAGCAAGTTGGCAGCTTAGCCTGGGCTAGAAGATGATCTCGAGGCAGTTGCTTTGCTATTCATTCAAATGGTGTTCTTCGGGTTCATACTGGGCCGCTAAAAATCAATGACTGGGCCTTGCATGAATTACTCCATGTCTACTTCGTACATTCTGCACACGCATGTATACTACAAGACTGTGGCGTTCATACATAGATTATATATAACAGTTTCTTATAACCTGCATTTGAAATGTCTTGACGCCGTATAGCTTACGAAAATTGCCTTTGCGTTTTTCATTAACAAATTTAGAGATCCAAATGCGTAAAATCCACTCAACATCCCTCTCACCAACATGCTCAAACCACGCACACACCACAGCAACCGCCATCTACCGCAAGCAACGGCGGCCACATCCGGCATAATGTGTAGAGTACATAGAATACTACATAGAGACAACCTGCCAGAGTGGTCCATGAGTATTTTGAGCGAAATCACAACCTCACAAGGTCGAACACGCGCAAGAAATCGCATAATTCTGGCATTTTGGGACACGTAGAGCACGGCAGATAGCCCTACGAAGCCTCACAAAGCAAATATGCCGCCGGCACGTGGCGGTGTCGCAACGGCGATACTCCTATCTTGGATCAGACTTAGCGCCGCTCAACTGGTGGTCCCCGATACTATTCCGGATATAATCCCCGATGCGACATCGGATGTTGGCAGTGAGGATGCGGCTCAGGCTGTTATTTTCTATTTTTCCGACGGCACCTCATACGCCTACTCGGACTATGCCCCTGGCTGGAACGGCAATTGCAACACACTAAAGCCTCAGCAGCCCGGGAAGGCGTCCGTTGATTTCGTTGAGTATGTGCCCGGCTGGTCATATGCGTCGACGGTCTTTGCGGAAGCTGCGGCAGATCCGAACAGCAGCAGAACGGAGGATTTGGAACTTCAAAGCGTAATGTTATATCATGATCAATATTGCATAGAGGAGGCCTCTGGACTAGTCGAGCAAGCACAGAGCGATAACGGCTTGGTATATACCGAAATTTCGGGACCGATAGAACTCGATGTCGCGGATAGAGTCAATGGAAGTCAAGATGGCGGGGATGAGGAACCGATCTTACTGAATGATGGAGAATTGAATCTCGATGGTATCTCGAGCTTTCGGCTGGTACTAAGGAGGAAACCAAGCATAGCCTCCGTACCTTTCTTCGCCGGAGTCCCAACTGATGAAACACCAATCGAAGAGACATCAACTGAAGAGACGTCAACGGAAGAGACGTCAACGGAAGAGACGTCAACTGAGGAGACGTCAACTGAGGAGACAACGACTGAAGAAACGACGACCGAGGAAACGACGACCGAGGAAACGACGACCGAGGAAACGACGACCGAGGAAACGACGACTGAAGAAATCTCAAATGAAGGAACGCCAACTGAAGAAACGCCAGCCGGAGAAGATTACTACCAGGAGGACATCATTGAAGAAGATCAAACCCGCGATGACGTCGGAGAAAATTCCATCGAAGAAGATGAGATATACCATGTGGATACAGGTGATCAAACACCAGATATAGATCTTCAACAAATTGAAGAGCAATTACAAGAGCTCCAAGAAGAGCAAGAGCAAGAGCAGTCATCGGAATCGGAACAAGATCAAAGCCAAGAGCAAGGACAGGAGGAAAATGTGGATGAGCAGCAGGATCAAGAAATCGAGCAGGTGCAGGAGATAAATGAGGAACAGGAACAGCAGCTGGAACTGGACCAAGAAGAAAATCAAGAAGAAGATCAGGAAATAAAGAACGAACAGGATAAAGACCAGGAGCAAGATCAGCGATTGGAAGAACTTCAGGAGCAGGTGCAGGAGTTACAGCAAGTCCAATGGCAAGAGCAACAGATACAAGAACAGGGCAACGGAACCCAAAGCGAGGACCAGTCTCAAAATCAGCCAATTGTCATATTCGACGATTTCATTCAGAACCTCGTCGAAGCACAGAATCCAAGCCCATCCGAAGAAGCACAACCGGCTCAAGAGAACGCTGGTGGAGAGCAGCCAGAGGCCGGTCAAGAGGAAGGTGCGCAACCGGAGCCAGTGGCCGATGAGCCTGGAACTCCCACTGAGAACCCACCACCTGAAAGTGCGCCGGCCCCTCAGAAAACCCATGAGCAAGGAGAGCGTGAACAGACTCCACCAGAGGAAACTACAGCTCCAGAGCCGACACAAGATGAAAGACATTCCGAGACTATCACCGAAGAAACCCAGGCCGCAGAAACTGAGTCGCCAGAGCCAGAGCCACAGCCAGCCGAGAATACGGAAGCCACGGAAAGCCCTCCTGAGGTGACCCCGCCGCCCTCACCGACAACATTGGAAATCGTCACAGTCGTAGTTCATGTTACAGAGGGCGAACCTACCGTTGGTGCCATACCGACTACCCCTGAACCAACGGTGACTGAAGTGTCGACGGAACCGACACCGACTGAGCCATCTTCGATCGAGGCATCATCGACGACCGAGCCGCCGATCACTGAAACATCGTCGGCTGAGGCAACTTCGTCGGAAGAGCTATCGACAGAATTCTCATCGACAGAGCAACCAGAACCTGAGGCAACCACTACTCAGGAATCTAGCAGTGAAACATCAGCGCTTGAAGAAACCGAAACCCCGACAGCGGCCCCTTCGGTTCCAGGATTGACATTCACACCAGATACCGAGCCCTGTGACCCCAAGATGCCGGAGTCAGATTGCTATGTGGAATGCGATGCTGAGGACCCATACTGTTGCCATCCCGGGGATCGGGACTTCCCTGATTGCTGCGACCCAGATGATGCTGGGTGCTGGAGGCATGAGTTTATCCTGGATAAGCCTACTGAGACTGTGGAGCCTGAATCCGAGCCTACTTCAGCTACAACCATTACAGAGCTCTCTACGATGACTGAAAAGGCTCCGGAATCAACAGCTGAAGCGACGACAACGGAGTCGACTATAGAGACGCCACCCGAAGCTACGGCAACGGAGGCTGCATCGGAGCCTCCGAGTGAAGCCGCAGCGGAGTCTCCACCCGAGGCTCCAATGTTAGTGAAGAGAAATCAGGTATTCATGTCATCTGAGATGGACGGCTCTAGCTCCGTCGAATCCCAGGAGCCGCCACTCAGATTTAGCCAACAGGCGCGCTCGAGGCTATCGCGGCTCATGTGATAGACATTGGTATTAGTAGGTGCGTTATATATCTTGTACATTAATTATATCAAGCGAGCAGTTTTCCAGCCCTTTGGTTACATGTTGCCCCAGCGGAATATTCGATTCGATTAGATGTCTGTACGAATCCAGATCTGCAATTTCGCGAGTCGACATAACGTTAACCGAGCCCCTCCATGATGCTGGCTTCCTCACATGCAACTACAGGGATTATTGCGAAAAAAAAAATCACGTCCGTCTCTGAGAGCCGCACCACAATTGCACAAGCACCATGACGCGATCCATCTTCGTAATTGTCCAGCCTGATTAGAAAAAGAAAGTAGCCAAAAAAAACAGGTTTATAAGATCATGGAATTGCCCGGATTTGAACCGGGGACCTTTTCTACGGCCGAAGTTTCGACTGGAACCTTTTGAAGGGTCCTTACAGTGCGAAAGAAACGTTCTACCCCTGAACTACAATCCCATTCTAGGTGGAGTACCACCAATCGACACTCATAACGTCAGGCTTCAACTTATTATCGCCTGCAGCTGTGATATGCTGAGCACAGATGCTTCAAAGAAATTGGAGCTGGAATGGCGCTTGCCAAGGGACTGACCTTTAACCCTTTTTGGAGATCTGGGGATAACCGAACCAATGGCACCCCAAAAATATACAACATTGCATGAGCGATCCATCGCCATGGCTAGCGATTCTGGTACTGATCGACAGCTCCCGAGTGCTAGTGGTGATATGTGAGAGAGGATGCCATGGCCGTGACGCTTCGATAAGGGGGCCCACGCGCACTTATAAATATGACCACGTCTTGTCGCATTTGACAGCAACGGACTATTTCTTCCGAATGACTGTCTTATTTGTTCTGCCGTTTCGTTCATTTCGAATATTTGCAATTGCGTTCACCTGTCTCTATCTCGATCCTGTTGCTTCAACCAAACAGCTCCACGAACGGAATATCCAAAAGAATGCTCTCCTTTACAGCCACAATATTTTTCTTGAGTTCGATAGTAGCGCATCTGGTATCAGCAGACCACTTCGTCAACACTGTAAGTCTAGACAGCGAATTAATCCTAGTTCGCCATTGATACCGCCTGGCCCCCTCGCTATTGTGGTTGTCATGCAAGGACTAATTAATTTCTACGCACCCGCCAGTTCGAACAAGACGGCTTCACCATCCCACCCGGAACCCCAGTCAATGCCACCAACCCACTGCAATATTATGATCTTATTTACTATCGGCCGGAGCAAGTACAAACAAATATCAACAGTGGCGGCTGGATCGGTGCGCAAACAGCTCAGGCAAAGCCCACATGGCAATTGGAAACAGGCGGGCCATTTACGCCCGAATCACTGGATTATGCATGTTTGTCTGCAACTTCACTCACCGCAATTTCTTGTTCTATCACGGCACTTGGAAAAAAACAAGACGGATCTTTAGTCTCAACCCTCTTCAGCTTCACTAATCCAGGTCGGTATCCCATCCCCTCATCTATTATCCCTATTACCTTTAGATAAATTAGAAAACAGTAGATACTAACGCTAAGTGTAAATACCTAGCCATTTTTGGGCGTGCAATGTTCGCATCGATGCAGTTTCCTTCGAACTTCAATGACGTTGTACAGATTTCGTTTACGACGACGGCTGGATTACTTGGAATGTCGCAAGCGCTGCCGCAGTTCGACAATGTCGTATATGATATTTGATAGCATATTTACGGATACACTCTTATAGTGATCTCTTCAATGGATACCCAAGGCTTAACATGTAGACTTTTGATCCACGAATATCATGCAGCAGAAAGTACAAATGTAATTGAGTAGGATTAATTGCGTAGCAATATCAAGAAGTTGTATTTGTCTAGATATCGTAAATACTGCCAGAAAAATAGAGTCTCCGGCTCATGCATGAGGTAAGGGTTCTATATCAGGATATGTGTGAAGGAGATAATTCAAGTCTTCATGACCCTTGTCAGCTGCAGATGTAACTCCCCGGGGCTTTGAAGCCCTACGATAGAATTTGCCGCCTGTAAATAAAGATCGTCTACGAAAGACGCGCAAAGGATGTGGAGCAGTACTACGTACCCACCGGTGTACAGATGCTCGCATTTCGGACAGAGCTTAACAAAGACACCTCACACCGAATGCTCTATACTTTCACGAAGATATTTACATTCTTCTTCAATGCATTTACGTTGCCAAATTCTTGCTTGTATGACGGCTGCCTCGCATACCAGATCTGACCAGACCATATATATCAACCTAAATTGGAACTGTGGTCGCAACACACAAAATCCAACATTTCCCATGTTGGGTCATCCGTGTCGCTGGAGAATTCATTTGGAACTTGAGACCAGGTCATCCCGGGGTAGGCTGATTTCGATTTCTGCGACAGATTTTACATCATCAGAAAAGTGGGCGCCGTGCGCCGAGTACATGTACAGGATCGTCAGATACAAAGTCGTATCGAGTGTGGCAGGTGTTCCGATGGTCATATAAGAGACCTCCTCGCGATTGATGCTTTATATAGGGGTGGTAGATAGGCTCTGAACCAACGCAGAGGAGGGTGAATTATGCTCGAATTTATTACGCTGTAACTCGTCGGTTATACGAGGCTGGTGACTTGGGAATGCTGCTGTCCGATTGGCAGATGGCCTCAGCTACAGCTGTGTTGATTTTTGGCACCTGTGCAAGAGCTGTCGACAGCAGTCGCGCACAAAAGCACCATCAATATTTTTTGTTACCTTCTCGTCTCTCCATCATAACATCACACTTTCCTCCCGCTAGAAGAGCCACCATCAAGATCTCCTCACATCGGAATAGTGCACCACCCCTCCTCAGCCACTATCCATATCGTGGACTCTTTATCTCTCTCGAGCCTATCAAAGAAACCACCTCTCGAGTCTATCAAAGAAACCATCTCTCGTGTCTATTCAAGAAACCCTCTCTCAAATCTATCAAAGAAACCCTCTCTCGAACCTCTCAAAGAGATCTAAAAAACCAAGATGTCAAATCGCATTGAAAAAGCCAACCAGGGCACTACGTGTGAAGATGAAATACTCCAGCTCGCACGCAGATTGAACAGTCTCACCATCGAAGACCCACAAGAAACCATCGTAAGTCAGCATCGGCACCGCCATGTCCATCCTTAGCTATGGTAGCTGACATGATATGCCGATCTTCAGAATCGTTGCCACAATTCCTCGGCCTCACCCGGTCTTCAGAAGATTGAAACACCCATCGTCAATCTCGACTTTCTAGTAAGTGGCCACCGTCAAATTAGTCCACCCTACGCGGATGTTCAATGACTTCCTACAGATGGGACCGCTGACCGTAGGCTTTCAGGCATCGCCGGTCCTGCCGACGCATTGCAACCAAATGCAACTGGTCCTCCACCCTACGCGGGTCCAGACCAACAATCAGATTACGCATGCGGCATTGCCTCATGCAACGGCAGAAAGAGAGCGTCAGACAAGCAACCAAATTGCCACTAGGCCTCGCACAAGAGCAGGCCGAGGAGTTCAAAGAAGCACTCGAGTTGCTCCTCCTCCTCGCGCGAGGACACGCACACTCAGACAAATTGCGATCCTCAGAAGCCAAACCGCCAGTTCTTCGCGAGGAGAGCGCTCCCGTCGCACATGCACGCTAGCGGCCACTCTCCGCTTCAGCTTTATTTCGGCGGAACTCATGATAGCCGCGCAGTTCACGAGAAACACTATCAGTGATCTGCATGGACACATCGTCACGTATGAGTCTGTGCTCTGGGCGCAACAAATAAATTTGCACGGGGGAAGTATCCAGTACAACATCACGTACTAGATGCGATTTGCAGTCGCACCTGCACTGAGTTTTCGTATTGTAGGAGGAGTCTATTTTTCTTGCAGATCGCGGGGGACCCGTTTGCCGGGTTTTCTCTTTTCCTGTCAGTTCTATTATTGTCAAAGTCATTGATTTGCACAGATCGTGCTCATAATAACGCTGGAGCTCATGGAGTACGGGACAATCTTCAATGCCGTAATACACCATGATCGGTAAACAACTCAACGATCTGTGAGAATCAAAGGATTGCAATTATCGCGTCTTGAGTAGCTTTGTTTGAGAAGGATAGTTTCTGGGCTACTTGTCCAGCCCGACGTGTATTTAAGATTTTCTTTCCCACTCAATTCGTCAAATTTCATTTTTTTCCCCAAAACTATTATCACATCTCGATCTTCAATATCGTAGAATCACCGACTGTAGACCAAATCACAAACAACACATTTCACAACCACTTCCTTGATTTCTTCACTTTCATCGAAAAAGCATCATAATGTCCACGAACAAGACTAAAGATTACCTCCAGCATCCTCAATTTGGTAAGGCTAGCCCTGTCCCTGAACTAAGTCTAATGCAAAGCATGTCTCTCACCTGTAGAAATCTAAAAGCTCAACCAAACAAGCACCATTTCAAGAAGAGGTTTTGGGGAATCACGGGAAAGTTCGTTCGAAAGGCGCGGGCTCTTCGACCTCGATACCGTCGCAAAGAACTGACCAAGGCTCTTGAACAGGCAAGGTGGGTTGCTCAGGAATTCAACGCTTGGATAGAAGATGGTTGGAAGCCCGATACTATCACGTACATGGAAGTTGATGGGGCTCTCCGGAAGCGTTTCCATCTGAGAAAGGGATCCGAAAACAGCTGGGTGGAGGTATAAGCATCCTCTATATTTTGGAGAGCTGCTCATATTGAATATCAGGGGAAGGAACAAGTGCTGGTGAATATGTTATATCTGCTAGACGAATTATTACGCTCCTGATGGATGAGAATGCAAGTATCCAGGCGAACAGCTGGAATTTTGTTCTACTAAGCTAAGGCCTGTAATTAGACAACCTCTCCTTAAATTCATCATCTTCAACATACTATTAACAACACTGCCGTCTGCATCATATTCACTCTACAGATCTAGACCATTTCTTCATACACTTAAGCATGACTCCTGAACCATTAGCCAGGGCAAATGCATCAGCTCCTCAGACTGCACGCCCTAGTCGAATTCCACGTCCCCACAATGGCACTAGCACACCTAGTACCACCAGCTCCGACTTATCCTGGACCTTCATATCACCATCGGGCTCGGTAAATAGCGTCGATGCAGCCCTAGCTACAAATCTTCGCAACAGATTGCATCAGATTTCCCCCCGCCCGGGCTCTCGCATGACGGCGCTTCAGCAGCTCGCGAAGGATATTTCTCGCAACTTCCCCACGAAAGAAGCTGATAGCGACTGGATTTGTCCACTGAAGATTATTCGCTACTCTGACCTCCCCTCGCAGATGAACTTTGAAGAAGGGATAATCTTCGATCAAGACTTCTTCGACGAGCGAACAGAGGCGTCAAAGTACAAATACGTCCGCAGGAAAGTGAGCAAGAAGTCCTTCAGACGAGACAAGGTCAAACTCTTCCTGACGAAATGGAGAGTCGGGTGGACAAACACCAAA